AATGTATATAACATCTAACATCTGTCTTGGTATAACCAGTATACTCTGATTTACTCATTTCGAATGGGTAAAGGGTATATAAACATTTTTTCGTGCAATAAGAAAATATGAAAATTCATTTTGTTTGTTGCTGTCGCCGACTTTGCGGCTGTCGCACAGCAACAATGGCGTCAAAGCAGCGACACAGCAACAGCAACAGCAATAACAACAACGACAACAGCATCAACAACAACAGCTGCTGCAACGCATGGACAAACATGCAGCGAAACAACTGCTGCATGTGGAGCAGTTGTCTCGGGAGGAGGTGCCAAGGCACGACACATTAATAAAATAGACAACTTAAAATATATATCTCAGCCAAGTGCATTAAAATGTTATAAAGCAAAATTATGATATTTAATTTAGTCAACTGGAGTGCTTTCCGCAGCAATCTAACAACAGCTGGCATTTATACGAGCCATATAATTAAATTTATTGCGATCATGCTAATGAAAAATTCTTGGCAAACATAAAAACTTGTAATGGGAAAACTTGCCCAAAACATTTACAGCTGTGCAGCCTTACAATGTTGAGAAAGAGATAGACTGTAGTGCAGAGGTGAGAATTTCATTCCGCAATGTAATGATCCTTTCTATCTACAAAGTATGTTTGGTAGATCTTATAATTAGATACATACTGGTACGAATAACAAATTAAAATGCATTTACAGTAATAATTGAAAATCAATTTCAAGGCAGTGGACAGAACGAATAGACTCCTTTTGTTTCACAAGTCAGCGGAATAATATATCGTTGTATGTAAATGAGATTAATGCCAAGTATATATATCATTCACTTAGTAGCGCCAAAAATATGTGCAGAAATATGAAGCAGATTTTCTTGAACTATCCACTCAGATCGCAATTGCAATACGTCAGGGGATTGGGCAATGCCTTGGCATGAGCTACGACCACCTGCCGGCTGACTGCGATACCCGAAACTGTTCAATTAGCGGGCAATTTCGACGGGCGATAACTCGCAATTTGACAACTTTCAAAAATATGAGCTCATGTTACGGGGCTGCACTTGCACAGATCTCAAAATGCAATTTATAATTAACATTTCATAAATTCGCGATCATGATAAGAGAAGTTTTCCATTAAGAATCAATTAAAATGCAAAACTCGATCAAATATGTTTGCTTTGTTGCTGCTGCTGTTGTTGCTTTTGTAATTCGAATTGATATTATTGCCTGGCTGACTGCAGTCGATTTATCGCGATCGAACCACTTTTCACACAAGATTAAGTCTAAGTACGGCAATGAAAATGCATTTTATTGAAGCAACGGCAACAGCAGAATTTACATGAGAATTCCAATACATTTGAAAATGATAATCATAAATGGGTGTCAGGTATTGAATGGCCTGATTAAAATACGTTTTTTAAATATTGTATA